AAATAGGTTAAGGGAATCAAAAAGGGAGCTTTGATTTAATAATCCGGCTTTTATGGCAGAGAACAAAGCAGCGACTGTAGAAGGCATTATCCCACTATGAAGAAAGCATCGAATAATATTTCCTGACATTGAAATCTCTATACGGCGAATCTCGTGTGGTTCGTTTTGTTTCTCAGGTTCTCCCTGGCCTTGCAACCGAAATAATCGTGAAGGATTGCATTAGCGGATGCTTCAGAAGTGGAGTTTTGACAACTAAGCTAAGCGAAAAGTTCGAGTGTGCGAGTGGCACAGTTTTCCAAAGGGTCAGATCCAGGTGATATTTGGGCGATGCTAAATAGCCCAGAGCAATATTTCAAGGTTTGGTACGCGTATCGCCTGTCATAAGCATAAAATACTTACAAGAATGAGTCGACCCAAAAAGTTATCGCTACTAGCAGATGGTTACTGGAAGCAGCCGTCTGGTTGACGAGCCCAGTAAGTGTAGTGCCTTCGGTGGACCTGCTGCCGAAGAGGTCGATGCGAACATCGACCGGAATCGCACAGCTCTTCGATAATAATAATAATAATAATAATAATAATAATAATAATAACAATCATCACCAAAAAAGCTAAAGGTGAGAAACACTTCTATAGCAAAAGCCCAAGGTGCTTTTGCCAATCTCAGCCACCTGTGGCACAGACGCGACATTACTCTCGCCCTGAAGGGCAGAGTTTACAACGCAGCCGTCTGTTCAACTCTCCTATATGGCTGTGAAACCTGGCCCATCAGGTTGACAGACATAAAGAGGCTCGTCATGTTCGATCATCGCTGTCTTCGCAGCTTAGCCCATGTCTGGTGGGAGCACCGCGTGAGTAATGAGCGTGTTCGACGTCGCGTATTTGGTGCAGGAAGAGCGAGTGAACCGCTCAGCAGCATTATATCACGCACCAAGCTCCGATGGCTGGGCCACGTGTTGCGCATGCCAGCACACCAACTCCCGCGACGTGCATTGTTTGCGCATTATGGGTGTGGATGGAAGAGGAGGAGGGGAGGCCAGTGATGACTTGGTCGAGAGAAATGAAAACCCTCACTTCGAAGTTGGCGTCGGTTGGTGCATCCCGACTGCCTGGCTGGGGTCCTAAGGACGGTGAACACGTTTGGTTGGACACACTTGCTGATATGGCTTGGAGCCGGCCCCAATGGCGTTTGTGTTGTGAGTTCCTTTGTCCATCCCCCTCCTGCTTAGCATCCCCCTCCAATCACGATCTCACTTGTTAGGCATAATATGACTCTTTTACGGCAGCCAGCTGTTAGCTCTCCGGAACGATGTCCATCCGTTACTGGGGACTCAGCGGGAGTGCCACCGTTTGTTTTCCTTTTCTTATCTTTTGTATTGCGGCACAATAGCTGAGGTGTTTTCCACCGCCAGCTAACATGTAATGATGGTGATGATGATGAGAAACACTTCCTGTCGTACCGCAATACAATTCAAGTACATAGTCGCAGTAAAACAAAGGCAATTAAGATTGTGCTTTATTCTGTACTGAGAATAGGGTCGTGGTTGGAGGCAGGTTTTTAAAGACTCTGTCGACCATGGGCACTTTGGGATATCAGTCGCTCAATCGAAGTAGGGTGCACAAACCTGCAGCACGTAAATGTTACCACAATGGGTTTAAAACAGTGGTACGCCGATCGTCTCAAACCAATTGCGTTGCTTGTGCTTAAATTGTGGGGAGGATCGGGCTTCTGTTTAACAACCGACCAAACTACAGGAGTATGGAGTGAGCGATCAGTTACCGGCTCCCAATGAGCGCGATCTCCTGAATTCGCCCCGCTGCCCTACAAGGCTATCCAGCTAAAGGCCCAGGGTGATGTCCGCTAAGTCAACACCTTATCTCGACTTGGGCAATCGGGTAGTATGGTGCTCGCTGATGAAACCATGGAGTTCACTGTGTTGTGGTTGATGTTTTTACGACAATTGCACCTTCCGCTGATTGCCACGGTTTTTGACGGCTCCATGTCTATTTGTAGACTGTAGCAGAACACGTGTCATGCGCACTTCACGCATATCTCGCTGACGTACGATGACATAATCGAGCAGGCGAGCGTGACCACTCCGTGGGTACGTCCAAGTTGCTATATCACTCGCATTCAGCGCAAAACGAGTGTTCGTGATCGTCAGGCTGTGAGTGGCACACAGTGAGAGCAGCCTGTCACCGTTCGCATTCGCTGAACCAATGCCATGCGAACCGATAACATCTGTCCATACCTATGCATCACGCCCAACGGGCGCGTTGAAATCACCCAGCAGAAATAGTCGGTCGCTCCTCAGCACAAACCGTATCACGGAGGATAGCTGAGTGTAGAATTGATCACGCCTGTCATCAGAATAACACGTGGTCGGATCATACATGCTAATAAAAGTGGCAAACTTACCTCACCCAAGTCGTAGGCGAACAGTCATCAGTCGCGCACTGATGGAGGCGATCGGATATTGCAAATCCGACCCCCTGATCACGCGGTGCTGAGGCGGCGTTGCCCACACAGTAAAATGTGTAGCCAGCACCCGCTTCATGCAATTTACCTTGCTCAGCAAACCGAGTTTCACTGACCGCCGCAATATCGATGTGGCAATGCGCCAGCTCCATCGCGACCAGTGGAGTGCGTCGCTCGGGGCGCTCATCGGAGCTCCGGTCCAGTAGTGTGCGCAAGTTTCAGCACCCGATGCTGAGTGCTTTGCGCGCAGGCATACGATTGCATTGGTGGGCAATCGCACGCGAGGTGGTCGTTGTGCTTCGAAGGTTTGCTTGAGGGACTCCACCCGGAGCCTTTGGCTCAATAGCCTGACCCACAAAGCAGTGGGTGGTTTGGAGGTTTGCTTGAGGGACTCTGTCCGGAGCCTTTAGCTCAATAATTTGACCTACAAGGCAGTGGGGATCAGACACAGCTGGGGAATGTGATTGCAGAGACAGATTGGGAGCTGCTTGACGGCCGCCACACGCATCCTTGGAGGTACTGGAACGATTCATATATAATTTGCGACCGTAGTAGGGTACAAACTTGCGACCACAGCCAGACGCAGGTGGGGTTTGGCGGGTTTGGACCAATTTGACCAGGGGTTGCCTGGCTTGAGACGGGCAGTAGCAAACCATTGAACACCCGGAGGTGCCCTCCCACCGCCAGAGACAATGAGTGGCGCTCGTGCTCTACGCCAATCGAGCTGAGCTTATAACTCGTAGACCTGTTGTCTCCCATGGCTAGGTTTTACGGGAAGAGGGCCACCGACCACTTCCTAACCTCCGAAGAAGATGGACTAGGATACTGGCAGGGCGTCCACACGTAACAGGAGAGAATCGGGCCCTCAGCCAAAGCCTACGATTAAATGTACACCCGAAAGACAGTGGCTCTAGCACATGGCCAGTTCACTGACTCATACGGATTGGTGTCCTGCATCTAAGCAGGGAGAAGGGCGAAACCCAACTCTCACCCAGCGGTCGCCATGTGCAGGCGTTCAGGACATGAGCGAATGGCGCAACAGTAGCAGCAGTGGGTAGATCATCTGCCAGGACCTAGCCACCATGATATATATACATATATATATGTATATATATATGTATATACGTATATATATATATATATATATATATATATATATATATATATTAATGCTTATATCGAATGTAAGTACCAAGTGATTTATAATGCAGTCATCGACAAGAGATCCCCGGTGACCCAATGGATGTTCGTTTGCTTCGAGCAACCTGCGGTAGACAGGTTAGGTATTCCGAGCCAGTGATTCAGCGGCGCAGGTAGGTGTCTCCTGGCAGTACTGTGCATTTAAGCAGAACTCAGGGGCGTTTATCCGTTGTTGCGGTAAAGAAAAAGGAAAGAATGTGCTAAAGGACAAATCTGCATAGGTCTAGTTCGTCTATTTGTTGGGATTCCGTGACCGGTAGTCTCAATGGCTTGTAACTACGCAACCAAAGAATGCTATCAGTCAGTGGCATACGCGCACTCGATCTTCTGCTCCAAACTTCTAACTATCCTCATTCACGGGTATAGAACGTTTCCACAGAATCCTATAGGGTATAGTGCTCTGGTTGCTTCTGTTGCTACTACCAATTTCTTCAAGCTACCAATATCAATGTGGGTCGGCGTAACTGATCTACTCCACTTCAGTGTAAAGATCATAGCTGACCAACCAGAACAGGAAATACTATAAACGAGCAGAACAAAGATGGCCATTCAATGCATAGAAACCGTGCGTAGAAGAGACTGGTGGTACTGTGTGCTGGATCGGTCATTGCCGACTTATAACTGGACTGGCATACAAATTTCCGGACACGACAATTGTTAATCAGATATCATTAGCACCAGTAATATCAAAAATTGGAGAAGTGGACGACTAATATTTTTGAGCTGACCGCGTGAGACCACGCGAAATCTGACCCGAGATGAGGTTAGTAACACAAACAAGACGGTAGCCGAACACCGTAACACTCGCGAGTGTCTATCATGTAAATGGACACAGATGCTCGATATCAAGCCAATTCAGCTGATCCGTAGTAGTCATCGGTCGGTTGCCGAAAGCACTACACAATTGCCTTGTAATTCGGTTGTCACTGGTTCACATACGCGTAGGTGCTAGCGGTCTTGCGGTATACATAACCAACGCATTTCCAGTGACAGCTGCATGCCAACAAAGCGCCGGAACACTGAACCAGCGTACTGTTGGCGTTTATCAGCTGTAGTCGGGGCACGAGTGTGGCTCATACCGCTTTGTTAGACGTCTCCAAAACGGCAAATTAATCAATCAGGAGTGCTTGAAATGAGGATGGAACAATATGTAATTAATGCGACTGGCAGTTTCAGAAATAACCACTTTGTTGGTGACATTGCTAGACCACAGAGAAAAATGGGAGAACGAGTGCCACTAGGGACGAAATCCCGAGCTGGCCGATATGTTAGCAAAATAGCATCGGAGAAGCAAACAAACTAGAAAAAATGGAGAAAGACATACCTTGTTGACGGTTCGGCACATTTGTCTTTCTCTTCGACATTGTCTGAAATCGATGAATAGGTTTCCGATAACTCTGATTCGTCCCGAGGTAAGCATTCCGGAGGCTCCAGACCGAGATTAAGATACACATTGTATAGCGTTCGCCCAAAACACGGGCCATAGCTAGTCATAAACCAATGCCAAGGCATCACGTGCTTACTTTCTTACGAGGTTGTCGTTAAGAAAATTCTTCCACTGACATCTATCAGGAAAACAAACACTCAAGCTCCCAGCCAACCCCGTAATCTACTAAGGTTAAAAAACGACTGGCTTACCCAGTCGCTCAGTTCTGGATCTGCAGACAGCTCTTGCGTGGTCGTAGAGAGTCTTTGACATTCCAAGATAAAGAGCATGTGGACCTTAAGTCTGTTAGATATAAAGAGAACATAAGGTCTGAGTACACTTTGATCAACTGCTCTGAGCCAAAAGACTCATACTTCTTAGATAGCTTCGCGAGTGGTAGCTTTATTTCACTTCTTACATATTCCCCAAAAAACTGAATAGAATTACGAAAGATGAGGGGGGAATTACCGATTTTTCTTCAAAGGAAAAAGTACCGTAAACATCGCAAAGCCTACGCCTGTATTCATCAAAAGATACCTCGGAATGTTGTAAAAACTCATCGAATAAATCTTTGACAACCCTGAGCTTCGCCAACGCAAACATGTTAGAACGAATGACGAACCGGTCTACTGGCCCCAAAGCGAACCACTCGGAATTGGTCGAGTGGAGTACTACAGTACAGCTAAGGTCAGAGCTTCTAAGTTCAGATCCCAATGGTAACGAGTGATCGAAACTAGTTGGCACGTGGTTGAATTTAACTTGTCGCACTGAGAGCGCCTTCTTCTCCGTCTGCCTTTCAGAAGGACATTCCTGCGCAATTATTGAAGGACAAAAATCTGAAGAGAATAGTTGACTGTAACTTTTCTTTTACCTTTTCCGTTACATTGATTCTTCCTTATATAGCCTACGTGTTGCGTAACAGAACTTACGTCTCAATCCTTGCAGTTCTCCCTTGTCTGCATTGTACACAATGACAAGTTGAGGTGGAAATAGAACATGAGCCTACATTGCCGTAACTATTCTTTCTGCAGCGTGTCGCTGAACCACGATATTGGGAGTCCGCGTCAAGGTCACGGCGTGCTTGCCAAGTTCAAGTTCATTTGGGACATGAACGGGAGGATAATCCTGTGCATGTTCCTTCTTTTGCGTATCGTTGAATCGGGAATTGATAGGTCTGCTTGAGATGTTGTAAAGCCTGAAACAATGACCGCCATACACCCTGTCCGATCAACTACTGCCCAGATGTTCCTGCCCAGCAGTCCCTGCCTACCGATTTATTTTTAGTAAGAGTGAAGGGTAAGCTAAGAAAAACGGAGGAGGAATGTCAGCTAAATAATTACGATCCTAAGGCGTGAGATGCAGTTTAAAATACGAGAGGAAAGTTGAACTTACAAGTCGGTTAGGAGAAGGGGAAGGTTTTGTACTACCACGCAAGAGCATCTAACTGATACTCGAAACCCTCTACCGTAGACTCTTTAATGAGGTGCCATGGAAGCGTGTTCCAACGTTCAATTACCCGGCCCGACAAGCGTGTTTCCGTCCTTACCCGGTCAGAACGCATCTTGTGCAGCTTCAACGGGTGACCTAGGAGACTCTGTAGCTTGGGGCGACTAAATAGCCAGGACAATGCTGGACCGATCTTATCCGCTAGTATACGATAAGTGCGGATTAAGTCACCTACAATTTTGCGGTTGTGCACCGAGTACATACCCAAGCTTAGCAAACGCTCGGAATACGTTTGCCCCCGTAAACTCTGTCCTAACCTTGTACACAATCGCAAAACCCTCTCCAGTTCCATTTTGTCCATTATAAAACAAGCTAGATAAGCCTGGATGCAGCATTCTTAGTGGGGTCGCACAAAAGCTGAGAACAGCTTCACACACATATTGGCTGTTAGGACACCGAAGGAACGGCGAATACCCAACATCATACGGAACCCACAACAAGCAGCCTTCCTCCAATTGCCCCCAGAGTGAATCAATGAGGTGTGGACGATACCTTGAGCAACCTGCTGAGTGACAGCTGGAATTTAACTTTCACCAACTATATAGCGCGTGGTGGGAGTAGCACCTCCAAGGTGGAGGACAGAACATGTCACCTGATTTATAGCCATTAACCATAAAGTTGCTTAATCCCCGAACCTATCCAAGGCATTCTGAATCGCCTCAGAGTCTCCAGAAATATCCACAACATTCCAGAGCGCGAGGTCGTCAGAAAATAATAGCGACGGTACTTCAAGCTACTTGTGTAGGTCACTGAAATAAATTGCGAAAAGCGACGGCCATAAAATGTAGCGCTGCGGAACGCCACCAAGAACAGCTTGTCTAAAGGAAAGCCTACTTCCCACTAGTATAAACTGTTCCCTTCCTTCTAAGAAAACAGGCACACATTTAAGGGCGCCTCCAGACTTTCCATATGATCTCAACTTGAAGGAGCGTCGTTGCTGTGGGACAGTATTAAAAACTTTCCAGAAGTCAACAAAAAGCACGGCGATAGCGAGACCGTTGTCTGCTGCTCCAGCCCAACTTTCAAGGGCTAAAAGTAACTTTTCCAAGCATTCTTTGTATTGTAAGCTTTAGGTGGAACAGTATTACACAATGTTCATACGCAGTGTTTGAGCTTGTCAGTTTGTCATGTGCTCAAAAGGGTTGACAAATCTCTTCGTGCGCGGAAGGCATCTACTGCGAGTGCATCGGATCAAGCTTTGTGAAATATTGTGCACCACAGTGTTGGGCGAAATACGTGAGATAAAATTTGACCATAGTCAAAGTTCCTCTGAGCATCATGGGCTAGGTCTAATTCACAGTGTTTGTATTGGGCTGAAGTAGTGACTAAGGGCATCCAATGCATTGCCTGCAAACTCTAGGCATTTGATAAGTCGTTGCTTGCAACTTACTGAAGCGCCCTGCAAGACCTATGCGGAAACACATAGGTTTGCTATGGATTTGTCGATATTGCATCCATGCTGCTGCGTTTGCAGGCCGTCCGCCACATCGACATCCTGAAAGAGTTCCTCCTCTCCTGTTGCTAGGAGAGCCAGAAAGCGCAGCAAAGAATCTACCAGCACCCATCCAAAAGCCGCGGCCACCCCAGCCCCGTCTACTTTACCGTTGGACCCATTGATACATAACCAGCTTAGTCAGCATATGATAGTTATATGCGGTCATATTGAAGCATAAGGCGACCTTGACAACGTGTGTCCAAAGTCAAGCCATATGTGTCAGCAAGACTAAGACTAAGCCTTTGAATAGACTTGAGTTTCCAGCTTCTCAGTCACAGAGGAAAATAGTTCACAATAGGAGTTTGGGGCTGGAGAAAGTGCTAAAGGAAAATTTATCATCTAATGAGCCGCCAATCCCACAGCGTTGTCTTATCATGGTGCACGCAGCCGATTCAGACAAGGCTACCTCAGGATAGTCAATTACTGCTCGTGCTGACAGTTGCTATGTTGTATGATGCAAGTGAACAGGGAATAAACATTGTATCTGCCTTCCGTCTCGGTAAAAATCAAGAAGATTCCTCCAAGATTCGTCCGTTCAAGCGTGTATGCGGAGACGAAGAAGAATGCAGGCGCATCCTGTGACGGACTTCATGTCTCAAGGGTAAACCGTACCGCGTGTTACTAGATCTCTCTCTCGAAAACCGAAGTAACGTGATGAAGGGTGTAGAGAAGCTATGAACGCGCTGGAGGGGTGGTAAAACCGCGCTTCATATATTGGATTTGCGTAATTCGGAAGATCACAGGAACCAACTGGAGGCCGATTCTCGTCACACCTAGAAAGTAAAGCATAAACAGAGACCGCGCGTGTTACCTGCCAATGTGTGCTGTCTAAGGAATAAGCTGGATGGATTTCAGTTGCTTAGTTCGGAGAGTCGTCCAGACCTGATGGCCTTCTCCGAAACTGGCTATTCTCAGCTATCACGGCACGGAAAAGTCTATCCCTGGATATCCCTTCTCCCGGTTCCATCGCCACGGAGTGAGGTCAGGTGGTGGAGAAATTCTCTACTGAAAGACAGGTCTCAAAGTACATTTATTTGTGGCTGTCAGTGACCATGATGACAATTTCGAAGCCCTCTGGTTCCATGTTCATGACGGATGCAGGTTTAGCTTGGTCCGCGGCGTCTACGAAGCGCCACCGGGCTACGGAACACGCTTGTTGGGCTCGATAAGGATGCACGGTGCACGCATTGGCTGGCTATTTTGGTCGATTTTATTGCGCAGGGCATCGATCAGGACCTACTTCTTTATGATCGTTGATCTGACTCCTTCGATGCGACATAGTCAAAACCACTCTAGGCTGCAGCATCGTTCAACAGGTCTTGACGCCTACTCGTATTTCCCAGACAAGACTGCACACATCCCAGATCTCGCGCACTCCCGGCAAATTCTGATCTCACAAACCTAACCGTTATTTAGCCCATGGGCAAGTGCGATAATTGTTTTGTTTTATTCTACCGGGCTCCTCATCTCACGATCCACAGCCACTGTGGACAAAGTTTTTAGCGAGCCGATGCACTACATCTGAAACCGGTCACAAGAACAACGGATTGGGGCGTCCCTGAACATACTCACCTCGACGACGCGTGGAAACGTGGGCTCACCAAGTTAAGTAGGTCGTTCCCACCTCCCTTCGGAATCCCTGCATTAGTGGTCCAACTTGGATGGATCAAGGATTGAGGTCGACTATGAATAGCAGGCGCACATTATGGAACCGTTTAAGCAATCTCAAGCAGAACCCGATATCTCTCGCTACAAGACTGTCAGGAAGGTTGGTGTCGTGATGAAGCGTCAGAAAAGCCGACACTGCGAACTATCATTGGCATAACACACCAGAACAGCGGAAAAAACGCTCTATACTTATTTGAAACGAAGCACTAGAGCCGGTAATAGCATCCATACTTTGTGTTCCCCAGGTAATCAAGCTTTACCTTACGGGGACGCTGAGAAAGCCAGTCACTTAGCAATGCAATACTCTTCTTTTTACAAGAAAGAAACACCAGTTAGTGACAGAGCCGACCAACGTTGCCATCTTCGTTGGCCCAAGCAGATGTTGACCCCGGTTCTGTGATGGGAGTTCTTAAATAAGTAAACAAATAAACTTTATTCTCGGCAAAGCGGGGCACATCTTTTGGGCCTGATCAGCATATGGCAACATGGTATACGAAAGCATGATTAGCAGCACCAGGGGCGGGAGTAGTACAGATGTAATCAGCAGTGTGGACCCATTTGGCCCAAAGGTTGTACGAAGTCTATGTCCACAGAATGCGAGATGTAAAGCTAAGAATAAAATCACTAACGTGGAGTTGTTGATGCGGAAGTAGTCCGATGAGGTTGTGTACACAGTGCGGGTCAGGTGAGTGAAGCATACGAAAAAGCTGCAAAAATATTCAAAAATGGTGGCATGTAACTGATCAAATGGGTATGCTTCTTTGTACGAGAGCGGGTATATTCACAGAAATTGTAAATGTTGTATCGATCAACTTACCTGTGTGTGATTGGTGCGGTGACTTTATTGAGTGGTGAGTCACATCCGACATGTCGCAGGGTTGTTAAACAGACATTTGTGGCTTTTGTGGGGTAAACGCTTGCCAGACGAAAACCCATCACGTCCCGGAACACTGCCGACTAGTGATGTAACATTGACAAGATTGCATCTGACCGATTATTCGCGCAG